AATAACAGCATCATAGAAGGTCGATTCTAATTTTAAGGGGTTGTAACATATTCGATAAAAATTCTCGAATCGAGATATTTGGAGATAGTGGGAGTGTGTTCCTTTCTTCGCCTTCGACTTGTCCTGCAACACGAGAGAGGGATGAGCAGTCAATTTTTGTTGAAGTATGGCAAAATCAGAATGATTATTCGAAAACCAATCGGCCCACCACTCAGAGAAACCTAAAGTTGATAAATAATTGGATTCAAAAACATAAGGATAAAAATGCATTGGGGTTTTTGGCAGCATTTTGGAGAGCTCCCGTCCGATTGTCGATTCACTTAACTTGGACCTTGGGGAAGTATCAAGAGGATAAAAAGGTAAGGCTTGACTCAGACCAAACTGCCACGAGAAAAGCTGGGGGTAATAAGTGATGAGTTGAAGGTCCTTCGATTGGAAACCCGATACCAAGACATCTTGAGCTAAGTAATTACTCCATACTTCGATCAATTTCGATTGTAGTCCGGGAGCAAGAGCAGGAAATTTCGATCTAAACCATGTTTGCCCTCGAAGTTGGTCACTTATTTGTCCAAGATACACAGTAAAAGAGGCCAAACTCGAATCAAAATGAAAGCGGGTCAGCAAAAATTGCAAGTAATTTCGGTAACTAGTCTCATCGGATTTGTGGTGGGGATGTCGAGAAGATAATCGAGCACCCTCTAAATTCAGACTTGGGGGGATTTGCAAGGTTGGGGGGAGGGTACTTTCAAAAATCGAGGTGAGCCATAATTGAATAAACCAAATAGGACCTGAAAAATTCCCCGAGGCCCTAGGGGCATTCAAAATATCGACGGCCTCATCGAATGCAGTATAAACATGGGCCAATAATAACTTGGCTAAATTAATTTGTGGTTGGCCAATGTGAAGAATATAGGCGAGGTTATAAAGGTGGGATGTAATTTGGATGGATCGGGGGCAGAAGACGTGGGTGCATAACCAGTATACCAAGAAGGCCACGTGCTCCTCATCAGAAACAGCCACTGTTGAGTCATCAATGAAATGTTTCTCGAGAAAATGCCCATAGGCTTTCGATTCCCAATCGATTTTGGACCTTAAGGAATTGTCCGAAGAAAAAGCACCTTTAAAATATTTTTCTCCTATGGGTTTTAGCCCGGTAATAGCAGCAATTTCGAAAAGAGTGGGTGAAAAAGGGCCACAAGGCAGTCCAAAGCATGCAAGTCCTTATTCCATAAATGAACAATAGATAAAAACATGGACATATTCAAGAAGGACAGGTCACACTGAGACAAATGAAGAAAATCGAAAATTCCTACAGCCCTCCAATGGTCCCCAAACTTAGCCTTAATTCGATCAAACCATTTCATGTACGAGGGTTTTTTGTGAGGTGGGCCCGTTCGATATGCCTTGGATACAATGTGCAGAAAATCTATTCGAACCTCAGGCTGATGGACAAGAGCTTTACTCTCTGAAGGAAGGCCGAGAGAAGAAGAAAATGATCCGCCACAATAGCGGATAGGACCTCCGAAAGCGTAATTAATATTATCAGCAGTATAGGGAATGAGTACCTGCGTCTCAGCGATTTTCTGAGAAGCTTCCTCCATCAGAGGAACTGGAGCGAATTTCTGGTTATTGATCTCCAATAGGTTGGTGGCCACCGAAGGAAGTGGTGGGGTGGAAAGGTCAGAGGATCTGGATGAGGTTGTCATTTCACTAGCTGATAGAGCAGAGGAAAACAGTCGGTAAAAGACGGAGGTGCAAGGAAGAAGACGAAGATGCAGAGGAGGAGTAAAGTTCGTGGTAAAAAACAAGAGTAAAAGGCTAACAAACGTTTGAAGCACTAGGGTACTGGAAGCGACGAAGGGTAATTAATGTGGCGTGTGCAGTGAGGCGGCAGAACTGACATGACAGGTGACATAAAGTGGAAAAAATCCTAAAACCCCAGCAACCCTAAACCCTAAGTTCTGATGGGCCTCCAAAAGGCGGGAATCATGTTGAAAGAATATAAGTACAAACTTTTATATTCTTCCAAGGGGGCATTCTGTTAATGGGAAATCGATAAAGGGATCGAAAAAAATGAAGGAAAGAAAAAAAAAATCGAAGACCATATGATTGGTAAAAGACATCGAGAATCGAAGAAACAAATTTCGATGCCTATTGTTGACGTTAGAATAGTACAAAATTAAAGGGAATCAAAAGCAAAATTTAAGATACTCGATATCTGAAATCGAGATCGAGGGAGCAGTTAACACACACAGGGAACGTGGGAAACAGTTTCTAAACCGCGACGGAGATCGAAGGAGGAGTAGTTCTATTATACGTAAGAACGTGGAGTGCAGTTTCTAAAACTGTAAAACTAAAGAAACGGGCACGTAGGATCGTTGGGATAATGGTATTAACCACTCTTGGGAGGTTACTTCAAAGATGCTCTATAAATAGAGCAAAGACTGAAAAGGAGGGGGAAATTGGCAGAGAGAACAGAAATACTAGTGAGAAGTCTACCGGAGAAACGACGCAATCATGAAGTTTCTGACGATCTGGATTTCCATTTTCATTGACTGCCTTTATCGTTTTCTTTACTTTTCCTGATAATTTAAGTTAATGTTATTTATTTTGATGCAGTTTACGTTCAAGCAATTTTAAGCTCATGTACTTTCGATTACTTGTCCTTTGCCTTAATGCAATTTAAGTTTCTGTACTTTCGATTACTTGTCATTTACCGATTGTGCAATTTCGATTTCTTGTTGTCTATTTTTCTGCAAAGTTCGATTTTTTGTTTATTTACAATCCTGCAATTTTCGATTCCTTGCCATTTACACTTAATGCAATTTTGAGGTTTCCGCACTTTACATTTGCTGCAAATTAATATTTCCTTGCAACTTTATATTTTGTATTGCTTTTCGATTTGACATTTTTACTGCTTTCTTCATTTCGAGTGCTTTAAATATAAAATACCAAAAATAGCGCTTTCGATTGTCATTAGGTTACATTAAGACCTGTGGTACTTTAGATTCTCATACATATTTCGATTGAAAGTCATTTGCTAGCCTAAGTAAAAAGAATCTACGTGGTTCGAATTTGGTTAGAACAAAATCTTTTAAAAATCGAAATCGATCAAAATTCCACCGAAACAACTATATTTTAATTATCATATAATTATAAGAGAATTGTCAAAAAATAATATATTAAAAGTGTATCTATGATGATATTGTATTCCACAAAAGTATTACAGTTTTAATAACACATTACAAATCCATCACTGAAATTTATGAACAGTAAATTTTAAAACTTAAAAATCTGTTTCATAAAAATTAAAATATTTAATAATCAACAGTGAACAAAGTATAAATTAAGGTGCTGAAATTGAAATCATAATAGAAGCATCGTATAAAATTAAAACTTCACAATTAACGTGAATAAATAAAATATATATGGGTATATAAAAATAGTAAATCGTTATGAAAGTTCAGTTAGTAGACACAGTTATTAAATGAAATATATAAAATATTATTTGCAGCAGATACACAAATTTTTTATCAATCTACAGATTTAAAAATAAAAATTAATGAAAAACCTAAAAACAATTAATGACTAATTATATTTGCTCAGTAGTAATTTTAATTACCATATCTAAGAGTTTGCTAGTATCTATACCCATGTTAATATTCTATATCTTGTTTATAATTACACTAAACACATAAAAGGATAATGATTAACATACGTATGTTTATTATTTTGTCTAAGATTTATTATGAAAATTGTGTACATAAATATATTTATATTATTTAATAATACCCATTTTTATGTATTTGGCATACATGTAAATCATATTTGTTTAACTCTAACCAGTTCTTTGTATTGCTCCTGGGATAAAAAATCAACATATCCATTTCATGAGTTTATGAATTGTTAAATATTTATTTATATATTATGTAGTAGTATAAATTTTGATCACATTTAAAAATGATATCTTCTTATATAATGTTTATTTTTTTAAAAATTAAAAATTTTGTGCCTGTCTCATCTTAGATGACATGCTCCAGAAAATATCGATTATTAAGTATATGTTTCAAAATTCACCTTCCATTATCTTCTTAATTAAATAGTGTTTATTTTTTTATATTTATAATATTTGGATACATGTACAAATCTCATAATATTTAAAATTTTAAGTCAAAAGAGATTTATTATATATATTTTAATTTTTTTTAATTTTTTAAGATATTTAAAAAAAATAAAATTATAATATATTAGAGCTCTAATGAATAATATCATGAATTTAATAATAGATTTAATAATGTCATCATATATAATTAATGTATTTTTTTCATAAAAAGAATATTTGTACCTATCATGAAAAAAAAATCTTATTTTATTTCTATTTTTTAATTCTCAATTAAAAATTTATATTCTGACACACTTTTACAAGTCTCGTATTACATAAGAATTTAAGTCAATAATATCTAGTAATACATCAAAATTGAAGTTAATAGTAATATATATATATATATATATATATATATATATATATATATATATATTTATATATTCTCTTAACTAAAACAGTGTTGGACCCTATCAGTAACAAATACAAAACTCGATACTCTTATAAAGAAAATAATTAATATTTGTTACAGATAAAAATGATTTTTTTTAGTTGTGGAAAAATCCTGATGCTTGTTTAGCTTCTAATTGTTTTTGTTAATCGTGTCATTATGGGGAAAGTTCTATTTTCGAAATGTCTCGTAGTTGGATAAAAAGGTAAATTCTTTCTTCTTACCTTAAATGATTGGTTTAAAGAAAATTATTTAATGAAGGGTTGTTGGGTAAATAATTGAGGTGAAAGTATTTTTTATGTCTCATCAAACCTTCTCCAACTTCCCCCTCTGCAGTACTCTTTATTTTATTTCATCGTGTTTCTTTTAGAAGAAAAAACATGGCAGTGTCTATAAATTGCTACATGCAACAAGTAATTAACACACCACGAAATTCAGAATACCACAATGGCGTTTGTTAGGCTTGCTCCTTTGGCTCTTCCCTTCCTTGTCTCTTTCTGTATGCACTTTTCCATTCATTTTCATTTTCATCATTTCTAATCGCAGAACTATCAGAAATTTGAACATATTGTGATACATACATGTGCTTTTGTTCTAAACTTTGGATATCATTTTCAGTGTTAACAATGAAGAGCACAGAAGCAGTGTTTTGCTATGGTGGTTGTTCATTGACTGAAAAGAATTCATGTGGCTCGACCGAATGTACTTGTATTGCTTTTGGACCAGTAGCTACTACATGCGTAAATCAACGTGAAGTTGCATCACTTGCGAAGACGTTTCCGAACCTATGTCTGTCTCACGATGATTGTTTGATGAAAGGAAGTGGCAACTTCTGTGCTCGTTCTCCTCATCAATATGTGGATTATGGATGGTGCTTTGACTCCAACTCCAACTCTCCAGCACTGAAAACTTTCTTAGTGAAATGACTACTCACAAGTAATCATGCATAAAGTGGTTCTCTGATGTGTGTTTTTCCAACTCGGTTGTATTATATGTATGTGTTTCTGGTGGAATTTCAATCGATTTTGATTCTAAGGGTGTTTTGGTCCTAATCAAAATTCTACCACGTAAGCTCTTTTTACTTAGGCTAGCAATTTGATTTTCAATCGAAAATGTGTATGAGAATCGAAAACTCCAGGATATCGAAAATGCTGCTTTTGGTATTTACTATTTAAAGTATCGAAAACATTTAGACTATCGAATAGAAAAGCAGAATATTAAATTGCGAGGAAATGTAAAATGCGAGAACCCCAAACTCGCATTAATTGTAAATAGCGAGGAATTGAAAACAACACAAATATAAATGACAAGAAATCGAGATTGCAAGAAAAGTAAATGACAGGAAATTGAGATTTGCAGAATGTTAAATAACAGGAAATCTAAATGCAGAAACTCAAATTTTCATTGAATTGAAATGGACAAGGAATCGAAATACAGAAACATAAAACTGCTGAATTTAAGTTGCATCAAAGTAAATTACCAAGGAAAATACAGAAAGCGATAAATGTACTCCGTGAGCAGGGAAATCCAGACCGCCAGAAGCTTCATGGTGTTCGTCGTTTCTCCGGTAGACTTTTCACTACTGGTTCTGTGCTCTGCCAATTTTTGCTCTCCGTTCCTTTCTCCTTTGCTCTATTTATAGGGCATCCTTCAAGCTTTCTGAGAGCAGTTAACGCGACTGCTACCACGTTCTACGTGCGTATGACAGTTTATCTTCTGTAGTTTCCCACGTTCTCACGATCTCCGACTTTTTCCCCATGATTTCAAAACTGCTCTTTATACGTGCATTCGTCTTCCTTTCACGATTTGGCCAAAGTCTCGATGTCCACGTTGGCTTTCTTTACTCTCGATTCGGTATTTTTCGAGAACTTTGAATTGCTTACAGTTCCTTTTTAACCCTGGTCTTATATGACTTAGTATTTATTCGACAACAGTCATTTGATTATTATTCATTCGATTCTTGATTGTGCTCCTCGATGCTGTATGCTACGTATTTCTAATTAGACGTCGACTGAATCTTATCGAGTCACATCTCTTTCCTTCGATTTCGATCACTTTCCTCGATTTGCCACTAACAAAATGCCCCCTTGGAAGAATATAAATGATTTCAGTTTATATTCTTTCAATATTCCCGCCTCAATGTTTGGAAACATACGGAACTTAGGGTTTAGGTTTTCTGGGGTTCTAGGGTTAGAAGGGTTTTAGGTTTTCCTTTCCGTTTTACGTCGCCATCATATCAGTCTGTTGCTTTTACAGTACGCTACATTTATTACTTTTCGTATCTGTCGTTCCAACTCCCTAGGCGATTTTCTCTTTTAACCTTTCTCTTGGTCTTTGTTCTGGTTTTTACGCGAACTTTTATCCTCTTTTGCAATCTTGTCTTCTTCCCTAAGCTCCTGCCCTCGTCCCTGTTTCTTTACCTGTCAACTTCTTTACTACTTCTCTAATCTTATTACAATGGCCTCTTCATCCAAGTCATCCGATTTCTCGGCTCCTCCTCTTACCTCATCTACTTCTACCTTGCCGGAGATTAACAACCAACAGCTTGCTCCCTTGCCTCCGATGGAGGAGGCCTCTAAAAGGATTGCTTGAAACTCGGGTATTAGTTCCTTACAATGTTGGTGGGGTAGGTTTTGGTTTTGGGGGCCCCATTCTTTCCGGTAGTGGAACCGTTTCTCCCCTCACCCTCTCAAGCGGCCCCGCTCTCGTTCATCAGCCGAAGTTAGGATCGATTTTTTGAATTTTGTTTCCAAGGTGTATAGGACAGGCCCTCCCTCCAAAAAATCTTTGTTCACTAGATGGTTTGATAGGGTCAAGGCTAAGTTCGGGAACCATTGGAGGAACGTGGGAATTTTTGATTTTCTACACTTGTCTCAATGTGACTTATCCTACCTCGACATGGCTATGTTCCCGGCTGCCGTGCATTTATGGAATAAAGAGATACATGCATTGGAATTACCTTGCGGCCCCCTCTCACCTACTCTTCTCGATGTCGCAGCCATCATCGGGTTAAAACCTATAGGGGAGAGATACTTTCGGGTGCATGTCCCTCGGATAATTTGTTGAAGTCTAAAATCGATTGGGAATCGAAGGCCTACGGACATTTCATTGAGAAACATTTCGTTGATGATCCCTCAATAGATGTTACCGATGAAGAACATGTAGCGTTTTTGGTGTATCGGCTGTGCACCCATGTGTTTTGCCCCCGATCGATCCAAATTTCCCCCATCTCTTCAACCTTGCGTATCTCCTTCACTTAGGTCAACCCCGCCTATGTTTGGCCAAGCTTTTGTTAGCACATGTATATACCGCTTTCGACGAGGTCGTCGAAATCTTAAGTACTCCTAAGGCATCGGGGAATTTTTCTGGCCCTGTTTGGTTCATACAGCCTATGGTTAACATCCGTTTTGAGAGTGTTCTTCCTCGATATTCTACTCGTCCCCCGAGTGTAAATATAGAAGGGGCTCGATTATCCTCCCGTCACCCTCGCTATAAATCGACGAAGCCACATATTGTAAATACCTCCAATTTTTGTTAACCAGATTTGTTTTCGATTCTACCCTAGCCCCGTTTACTGTAAATTTTGAGCGAGTGAGTGACCAACTTAGGGGACCGATCTGGTTCAAGTCAAGATTTCCCGCCTCAACCCCTGGGTTACAATTAGAACTGGTCGATATATGGAGTGGCTATTTGACCCATGATGTACTAGTATCGGGTTTCCACCCTAGGGATTTCAAGTTCGTTACTTACTACCCTCAACTTTTTTCCAGACAGTTTGGCCTGAGTCAGTCTTTACCCTTTTTCCCTTTAAATACCTTCCCCAAATCCAAATTGATCGAGTCGAATATCGACGAGAGCTTGCCAAATTTTTGCCAAGAACCTCGATGCATCTTTATCCATATGTATTTGAATCGAATTATTTATCGATCGTGGAATTTTCTCAATGGTGGACCAATTGGTTTTCGAGTAATCGTGCTCGTTTTTGACGAGGTCCGACGAAATCGATCGCTCGTCCTTCTCTTGTGTTGCAGGACAAGTCGAAAGGGAAGAAAGGTACACACTTCCACTTGTCTCCAAATATCTCGATTCGAGAATTTTTATCAAATATGTTATACTCCACTAAAACTAGAATCGACCTTTTATGATGCTTGTCATTTCTTTATCCCGAAAAACGGATACCAATAGATCGAACCACAAAATAATTAATCCCTTAGGAAAAACCCCTTTCGAAATGTATTGTCCCGCTCGCCTTCCCACTTTTCCTACAGACACCTTTTGGACTCGCAAAACCTTTAACTCATCCCAAATGGGTTCGAGAATTGAGAACCCTTAGAGAAACCCGTCGCCCAAAACCCAAAAACAAAGACATTTCGTATCGAAATTGTTTTACTTTCCTTACCTTAACCTCCCCGAAGCTCTCCCGCCTCCTTGGCTAGTACATATTGATCGAGTCAAAATTTTGACTCCATCACCTTTTGGTGAGGTTTTATTGTTTTCTCTCAATTTTCGATTCCGTGTTTTGGAAACCGACTACTTCATTCCTTGACAGTTTCAAAATCCACTAAGGTGGTTGCCTTCGAGAAGGCACAAGAGGAAGGAAAGGACGCAAGCCGGGAGTCCCCGGATGAATCGGATCCTCCGGCCTTCACCAGGAAACGAAAACAGTCGGCCACCACCACTTCATCTTCGAAAAATCGAAGGTTCTTTTCGATCTCTTTGTCTCATCCATTCTTCCGTTTATAACATGTTTCCCTATGGAGTCTCATACCTCTTTTCGATTTCTACCCTACGGAAAAAATCGAAGAGTCCCCGATCGATCCAACCATCCACAAGCAGATCCATTGTCGATGGATTCGAACATCGTTCCTTCTACGGGTCAAACAACGCCCGTCACCCATTCCAGATCACGTGAGTTTCCTTTTTCTCTAACCTTCATGTCTTAGATTTTGTTAAGACTTGTATCATGACTTACATTTTCGATAAATTTTCTAGGATAATCCATCGGTGATCGTATCGACTCATCGTCGAAACTCGCCTTTAGCCTTCGACGCCGGTTCTCGAGGTATAATTCTATTTTACTTGTGTATCTCTCTTTTGTCTTTGCTTATATTTCTTTTTCTAACTCTCTGTTTCGATTTATAGCAATTTGAGGTTGTACAGAGTCCTCCTCGTGCCTCGACGCCGCTTGCTCTTCTTCCATCTGGTATTTTCCCTTTTTTCTTTCATCATTTCGATTCTTTATTTTATCCTTTATATAACTCGACTTACCTTTTTAACTTGTTTTCTTTTTCAGTAATTATTCCCACGGTCCAAATCCCGAGACTCCCCATCTCCCACTACCACCGAACAAATGGGTTCTCACCCATTCTCAATGCCTGGGGTCGAACTCATCTCCCCAACGTTGCCCATGTTGACCGGGCCTATTTCTACCAATGTGCCGGAGTATCGAGCTGCCATCGAGGAAGACCCTTTCTCGATTCTCGATATTTTGGTATCGAGGGATGCCACTTCCTCAAGCCGGTCTTCTCAACCACCAATGATTTCGACCGAAGGAGTGTATCAGCTCAAACAACGCTTCGAACTTTCTTCTATTCCTCGCCTCGGAGGTCCTAGTAGAATCGATCGAAAAGAAGAAACTTTTAAAGAGATTCTCGCATCAATAGAGACCTTCCCCGAAGAGGCTCTTCCAAAAGGCTTCGATGCGGAGGTCGCGGCGGCCACGTAACCGTTCAACCAGGCCTATGCCTGCAAGGAAGAAAAGGCGATCGATTACGACCGAGTTGTCCGAAGTCGTCGCTTTCCAGGCCGAGAAATCTGCTTTATTGAAGACTCGAAACTCAGTCGAGGGAGATTTTGACAGCGTTGCCTTCGGTCGGAGGTGAAATCGAAGATTTAGAGAAGAGGCTTCAACAATTGAAATCGCAGG